CACCTGGTGGTACACCAGAGCCTTGCTGAAAGGTCTTACAACTGTCATATTGTTTTATTACAGACAACAGCTATTACATATACATTCCTTTACAGTTATGTAAAAATGTATTGATAATAATATGAACATTTTAGAAATAAAATTTGCCTGTGTAGCCGCATCTAGGGTGATGTTACAGTCAAGATACATGGCTAGTCATTTTAACTTAATTCTGTGCTAGCTGCTGTGTGGAGCCAGTGCATGTGTAGGTGCCACACTGTCCATATTACTGAAGGGAAGCAAGGGAAACAACTGTGACAGTCAACAAGTTGGAGAGAGAGAGAGCAGTCACAATCAGAGTCAGGCCCAGGGCCAGTCATCCTGAGAGAGGGTAGACAACACGTTGATGATAGGCCAGGTGCTGTAGAAATCACACAGACGGTGCTGAAGAGGTCACTCTCCAGTACACTGCAGACTGACAGTATCTGGCCTGGTGTCGCATCACAAGGCTGCCTTATGTCGCAAGCAGGAGGTCACATGACTGCAATGACTGCTAATGCAAATAGTGTAAAAGGAATGAAAAGCAAAATCACAACAATCCAATCCATGAAAACAAGCATTTTCAGCCATCTTTGATTTGTGTTTGGACACATTTATAGGTGCTCTGTGCTAACACAAGAGCAGCAAATTATAGTAAGTGAATAAATTCAGATCCCTTTGGCATAAAACAAATGATTTTTTATGCGTAAATAAACAGTTTATGAGACTTCACATGTGGTCAAATATTATAAACCTAGAAGCATGCACATTATGATCCTCATAAAACCATGTCTGTCTGAGTCTCAGTCAATGAGTTACCACTTGTTCCACAGTGGAAATAATGAGACAGGCTATAGAGTAAATTCTGATGCTTCATTTATTCTAAAAAATGAATAAATACATTTGCATATGCATGTAAATTAAATTATTTTACTCCTCTGAAAACTCACCAAACTATTCCAAAGATGCTAACCTGTATTTAACTGCAATTTAAAGTTACAAAACCTTTAACTGCAGCATAACACATATGTCTTTCTTCTCTCCCTGAAGAACCAAAACATGTTTTTGTACAACCATAAAAAGGAAGGTGGTATAAATACATGAGCTGATGCCTGTCATGAGGGACTGCTGTTAGAGACTAAGACAGAGAGGACTTTCAACATACTGTATGATTGGAATGAGCTGCCATATTTCTTATGGTGACCTCCCTGTTCTTTATGAGAATAGTTGGACAGCTAAACTTTACATCTTCCTTTATCCAATTATCTTCTGCCAGGTTGTGAGAAAAATTGTAACCTTTAATGGTGGTGACACAACATGAGGTCTAGACTGGACAGAGGATGACAATTTAGGTGTGGTGTGCAGAGAGAAAGAGAGAGTTGATCGTTCATTTTACTGTAACAAAATTAGTGACCATGTAAATAAATGTAAGTAAATAAAGCAGAAGAACAGAGACACTGTCAAACAAAAGAGCTTCACACTTCATTTCTGCTCATGCTTTTAATGATGTCACATTTCTGAGTAATTTCTTTACTTTGAATAATTTCTTCCTGCTTGCAAGTGATGATCAGTTGTCTTGAAGGAGGATCATGAGAAATCAAAATGATGTGGGCTTTGTAATACAGTTAACATCTCCCTTACAATAACTTCATTTAGTATCCACTAGGTGTCTCTCTAAGCCATCAATTGAAAGTAGGAACAACTGAATGGCACATTTATGGACAAAAACAAGAACATCATGTGTCTAGAGCCCCAAAGTATTTCAGTGCTTTCAGTTGGAAATTTGGCCACAATGTTATAACCACCAAGAATCATTATAATGTCTACTATGCAGGAGATGATCAGCTTTACCTGTATGTATATGACATGTGCAACAAATGCAACACTATAGATTATGTTTTCAATTACATAAAATGAATAATCTAAAACAGTTTTTTTCTGCTTAGTTTATTTATATTCAGACTTTATTTAACCAACATTTGTATCTGGTATTGAGATGAATATTCTGGCATTTTTAATACTTTTTTCACCAGAATCTCTATAAACATTCCCATTGTTGCACAGTGTTTGTTTGTTTTTTTGTAGCCATATATTATAGTTGCAGTTTTAATGCACTGCCATTGTGGTTGGTCTTGATTACACACAGTGTCATTATGATCTATTTCTGCAGCTGTGTCTCTAAATCTTTCTGTTCTCTCAAACTGTGCTTGTTAATGAGAGATACTATGAAGAGTTGTTTTCCATAGCACAGATGGATCTTCATCAGATGTCTCTCTTATGAATATCTGATACTCTTTATGAAGCAAGTAAAATTTAACATCTGAGATAACAGCTATTATATCTTCTGCTGAGTGATGATGCCAGTGGTCGTCCTCAGGAGAAATTCCGGGTTGTGGAATAAAATATGAATACAGCCTACACTGCACTTCTAGACTAGATCAAAGAAAGTTGACACTGATCCTGGGTTAAAACTTATCCGGGTTTGAGGAAACGCAAGGCATTTTGGAAACACCACAGCACAGTCAGACTAGCTTTATCTTACCTTTAAAATCAAGGTTTTTGGTACATTAGGTGTGCCAAACTTTGCAACTCATTCAGATTTAGAGCAGGATGTACACACAAAGATCCCAAGGCATTTTCACCCTGGGAAAATTGAGGGTTTACTGGATGGATTCCAGTGTTTACATTTCATCTTTGAAAGATAGCAATGACTTACTTTGGCTATAGCTATTTACTCCTTGCGAAAGTGATGTTTTCAGCTTCCATTACTTTAAAAAAAGCCTTACCCCATACGCAGTCAATGCTCAAATGTTCAACTACAGTGGAAGTGGCCTGAGCATATGAGTTTTATTCCTGCAAGGCCCAAGTTTAAAAAAAAAAAAATCCTCAGGGAAATTATGACAAATAGTGTAACACTCCTGCCCCCTTGAACGTTGGCAGTGCAGTCATAGCTGCTGATTCTTAAAATAAAACTATAGCCATTGTGCATTTTAGTAACATTTGGAAACTCACAATGCATAACAGCACACATACCTGTATAATGCAACAAAAAGTTACATAAAGCATTTAAAATGAAGTCCAATAAAAACCAATAAAAGCCATTGGGCATTATAACTATGTTGACAAAACAATCTTAGCTAAAGGTCAGCTTATTAGCTGCTGAGGAGTTTTTAGTCATCTTCCTGGGGTAAAACCGTTGTTTCAAAGGTCAAAAGCAATTTTTGAACTTCAGTTTATATAAGTGATTGACCATAAGTATCACAACTGCTTATAATCAATCCACTTATAGTTTATGTGAAAATTTATAGTATGTTATTAATAACATGGTGCTTTTACATAAACACAATAAATGGAGAATGTTGTTATGGTTGCCATGTTAACTTCTTTTTCATATAAACAGCTTGTCTGTAGTCAGTTAAGGGTGTATTAATATCATGTGAACAGACCATGTTGTGCCAAGGTTTCTGCACACAAACAGAGGACATTCTTAAAAATGGGTGTGTTGACCTTTGTTGCTGTCATGTACTGCAAAGGTCACCAACATCCTGTTACAGATATTGACCCACCTCACTTAAAACAGTCAGTGAACTGTGATGAATGCATTACAGAAGGTAATAAACTAATTCATTATGGTTAACTCAAACCAATACAGCGTTCGCAAATCTTTACCACCTGTCATAAAAAAAGGAGTAATTATAATGAACTGTATTACTTAATCAAGGCTCATCATGCATCATAAATACTTCATTAAATAAGTAGCTTTCATAGAAATTGTTACGTTTATTAAACAATTTTGAATATAAATGTTCAGAATTTACAATTTTACCTAAGTGCAAAATTACATGCAGTAAGAAATACTCATTAGGCAGCAGGTAGAGTAGATATTATATTATTGATGTCTAAGCAGCACATTATGGTCTAACTGACTGTAACACTTTATGTTTATGAGCTGTGCATATGCTTTGTATGTAAACTCAAAAGCTGTAGAATAGCTGTGAAAAATATAGTGGATTTAAAAAGTACAATATTTCCCAGTGGTGGAAAGCAACTAGGACATTTACTCAAGCTATGCAGCGGGCTACTCAACAAAACCTTAGTGATGTAGTCTACACATTAATGTATCAATAATTACAATCTAATAATATATCAATTATTCTGTAATGGTCCATTCTGCATAGTGATTATTTTTAGTTTAAGTAAAGTATACTTACATATGTATAGTGTATAATGTACTATTGCAATATTTTTGTAGGTTACGTACAGGAAACTTTAAATATAGAACTTTTACATATTACCAGTTTTACTAAAGTAATAGTTTGTAATATTTCTTCCATCACTTCTCAAATGTAGAGGAAAAGTAGGGTAGAAAATACTGTAGCATAAATGGAAGTACTTAGATAAAGTACAAGTTCCACGGAATCCGTAGTGTAGCACAAAAATCTGGGTCCCATACATCTGCTGTCTCTGTGGGCCTCCTTCCCCATTTCACACCTACACAGTGACGAATAAACACATTTTTGTACTGGGCAAGGCAGAAAGATATCTGACTGATTCTGACACTGAGATAAGTTAACTGACTTTCAAAATAAAAGCCTTCCTTGGAATCATGTTTTACTAGCAGAATTAAGGTGAACTACATATACTAGTATAATAGGCCTATAACAAAACTTTACAAGCTTGAAGACACAACCCCAGCAGTGAAACTGGCCTGAGAAGCTCCGATATAGTTTTAGATACAATGTCAAAATATTTATTCCACCAATAGTAACCTAAGAGCCCTCTGTGTTAGGGTCCTGGGTATTTAATTATTTCCACTATTCTCTATATTATCATACCCCTGCTAAAATTATACATAAGTGTAAAAATGACTTGTGTTGAGATAAATGAATGAGTTTTAGGTGTTGTTACCTTTGAACAACCCCAGGCCAGCTATTTACCTGTTTCCAGTCTTTATGCTAAGCTAGGCTAACAGCTGCTTGCTGAGGCTACATTGCTTTAAAATCGAGGTTATGAGGAAGCTCTTGAAGGCAACACGTTCTCTCGCCCTCCCTCTCTGTTTTGTCGGAGCTTCCCACTGAACAGTTGGCCGTCCTTTTCCTTCTCCTCCCACTCAGCCAACACAATATAAACATTTCTGTACTGTGAGAAGACTCCCCCAAATAGTCCTCCTTGTTAGGGCACGCACACGGACACCGCCTGGATACCAAGACAGAGTGAAAGATGGCCCAAACCCACAGCCAAAGTTCAACTTTCCCTGAGATAGTGGAGCTAAACGTAGGTGGGCAGGTGTATGTCACCCGACTTGAAACTCTCACAGCGGTGCCAAGCTCTCTTCTCTGGGCCAAGTTCACGCAAAGCTCCCCGGGCGACTTGCCAAAAGACAGCAAGGGTCGCTTCTTCTTCGACCGGGATGGCTTTCTGTTCCGATACATTCTGGATTATTTACGGGACTCGGAGCTTTTTCTGCCCGAGTTTTTCAAAGAGAGGAGGAGGTTGCAGAGAGAAGCAGACTTCTTCCAGCTCCCGGAGCTGTCGAGGCGCCTGGCAGCGGTCAGTAAAGACAGCTCGTACGCGGAGGACAGCGGGGATGCGGAGGAGGCTGAGCTCAGCAGCCCGGTCACCTCTTCTTCGGACAGAGCCCTGGTCTCTCCTGGGGCCAACTCCGGCTACATCACCGTCGGCTACCGAGGCAGTTATACTATTGGGAGAGACATCCAGGCGGACGCCAAATTCCGCAGGGTTGCCAGAATAACAGTCTGCAGCAAGATCTCTCTAGCCAAAGAGGTTTTTGGAGAATCACTGAATGAGAGCCGAGACCCGGACCGGCCGCCTGACAAATACACCTCCAGGTATTACCTCAAGTATAACTTTCTGGAGCAGGCGTTTGACCGGCTGGCCGAGACTGGTTTCCACATGGTGGCATGCAACTCCACTGGGACCTGCTCATATGGCAGCAGTGACCCGGGGGAAGACAAACTGTGGACCAGCTACACCGAGTACATTTTCTGCCGATGAACGGGTGCAGGAGCAGGCTCCATCCAGGCTTACGACTCATTTCAGCAAACACTGGGACAAATCATCATTTACATTATAGTTAATGTAACATTAGTTACATTAGTTCTTACTCAACACCCCGAACTGGCAGTTTTAGTCTTATCAACTTTACGTTTCTTCCGTTTTTGTCACTCTTCTGCTTTGTACACACTGGGATCAGGTTAGAACCAGAGTTAACTTTTCTGCCATTTTAGACCTATTGTGTAAGAGGAGGACTTACTGCAGACTGAAGCATAAATATCATTGGGTAGGGAGGAGCAAAAACAAAATGATTTTATTGGTATGCCACTAGGTCCACATAGCTGGAGTTTTTTTTTATGGCCTTTTTGGCTTTCACAAAGACTGCTGTTCATCTGTAGTAAATGACATAGTCAGGGTGGCAGAAATGTAGAGCTGGTTTTCTTTGATTCTTACTAGACTATACTTGCATTGTCATGTTATTGTAGAGAGGCGTAAATTAACTAGGACATATGGTTTTGACCAAGCCCTCCTCCTGTATCCTCCATATAACATTCAAGTCTGTAATGTTGGGGATTGATGGATAAGGAAGACAGAAAGTTGCTTCTTTGATATGATACTTTTATATTATGATTTCCATTTAATTTGATTAGCCTCACAGATGGTATCACTGCTTTCAAGATTACACATAGGGACTTTTTCACAGTGCTACATTGTTATGTGCCATCTTTGAACTGCTGTCAATGTTTTTGTCTTTAGATATAAAGCTGCAGCAAATAAAGTGTGACTTTGTAACACTATCCACCCCTGAGTTCCCTTCAGTTCAGTGTCACTATTTCAGATGTGTCTTTTTCAGATACACTGGTGCTTCTTTTCACACAAGTAATAACAAACACTGTTTTTCTTCAGAGGTCGCCAGTGTCTTTGTGATGTCTGAATCTATGTAAAAGAGAGATGACATTTTAGGTGTTTACAAGCCCACACACACACACACACACACACACACCCATAGAATGAGCAGCGACCTCAGTAGACTATAATGCCACCAAATGAGTTCGATGAAAATTTGACCTGAATTAGGCTATAGTGTATCATATTGCTTTTAGCCTTAAACATGACATTTATCACATAGTAAATTCAGAGGTCACTGTGTTTTCTGATAAAGGTTGCAAAAGGCATGAACATTCACAGCTGACAGCAAAGTTATCTTAATTTAGAAATGGGGACGAGTTGCTTTATGCAGTTTCATTTTTCATCATGGAATTTTGTCATATATATGAGTAAGCTATGTAAATTATACTTTTCTGCTACCGTTTCAATAAAACTACTTATTTTACCTTAGGGAGAGATTGTATGTCTAAGTTAAAACTGAAATAAATACCAACAAATTGCAACCAAAATCAGAACTTGGCTGCCGGTGTACCCTTTTCTAAAACACAGAAGGTTTCTGTTATCTCTCCTGGGCAGGATGGAGATGTGGAGGAGGGGGGATTTCTTTTTGGCTGACAAGTACAGTGATCAAATGTTTGTTCCCGTGTGGGACCATGGGGCTTAAATCCAAGCTACAAAAAAGTCTTTGTGTGGGCTGTGTTAGAGTACTTGAATACAAATGTGTTTAAAAAAAAATCAGGAAAATGACAGATGTAAGATATCCAGGGAAACTGAAGCTGTTACTGTAAAATATTTTAGGAGTGGTCTGTTTTTTTAAAGTCTCTATGTGCAAATTCAGATGAAGACATATAAGCAAAAGAAAATGTACAAACACATGCATGCACCCCTCTAGGAACTCAGCTTCCCTGCCACACACGCATTTCTGCTACCAAGCAGAGCTTCATAAGAGCTTCAAAGATAGACATGTCTACATAAGAGACCTCATATCTGCTGTCAGCTGATGCTGCCATCTGGACAGGAAAACGGAAGTATCGACTGCAACTCTTCCTCCAGTGCGATGTCCATAAACCAGACACAGGTCTCACTGTTCTTGACTGAAACACTACAACCGGGGCTCAGCAAAATCAGATATATTTGCCCTCATCATATTGTCTTACTTTACATGTATTACTGTGAGACAACAAAACGGATAATTACTTTAAATTGCCCTGAGAGGCAAGGGTGCCCTATACCTTACATCATCTACAGCAGACTGAGGCCATTTGAAATTACTGGAGAAAAAAAGATTCACAAAACCTCATTTATATGTCTTTTTATGTTCCTCTGAGGCAATGATGAGTTTCTCTGCCAAGCTATTTCTAATGCAGACCTTGCTGTGTGTATGGTGTGTATGTGTCCTTGGTGATAAAACACCTCAGAACACATTTCACTCGATGTATGCTCTGTTGGCCAAACGCTAAAAAAGTGCGCACACACACACATACGGGAACAGAGAGCACAGGAGGGAGACAGATAAAGAGAGCCAAATTAGCCAATTTGCAGAGTTGGAGATAACACAGACAAGCTGGCTTTTTTGATATCAGCTTCTCTGTGCTAAATCCTTCACACTTTCTCCCACAGTCTCTGCCTCTAGCTTACTGTGACCCACATGTCTTTATTACTTTTTTTTTTTAAATTCAGTCACAGGCTCTTCTGATGTAAAGACATCACAGCGAGTGTTCACAGAGAAAACAACACATGCATAATTAATTCAAGCTGTGTTTCTCTTTGTTTAGATCAGGTGTGAGAGCAGAAAATAAAACAGGATGGCCCTTAGCTAAATGTAAGAACATTCTCCCTTCATTTCTATGTTTTTGTCTCATTTACGCTCCTTCACAACTAATGACAGCAGAGGCAGTTCCATTACATATTAATTTTTCAAAACTGTGTCATGCAGGATGATGATAAGAAGAAGCATGAACAATGAGGGTATTGCTTAGACTTTTGAGTGACTGAAAACTCTTTTGCTGTTTTGAGAAAAAAAACTTAACATCCTGATTATATATGCAACAATAACAAAAGGACTGAAAGCCTAGTAAAAGTCAAAGAAAGAAGTGAGGATATGGTTTTTCCACAATTTGTCTGCTGAACATGAAACTACAGTATTTGGCTTGGCTCTTACAAACAGTAGTATGAAATTTACACTGTAATTTATTTAAAACAGCAAAACAAGATTCAACATGAAACAATCCAAAGCTGTCTTCATTTGTGTATTCAAGTATGTCAGCACAATAGAGCTGACTGGGTGACAAATGCATGAACAAATGACATTACAAAGAAAGAAAGAAAGAAAAAGTAAGTAAGCATTCTGTAAATTATAATTCAACATTTCTTGAGATGAGTTAAATGAAAAGAATGATACCACTTTTGTTTGTCTGTCTGTCTATTAACCAACTTGGCAAAAAGACTGGAAACTCAGAAAAACAGCTTTGCCCATCTCTACCAAAATCTGCTGTTGACATACTGTACATAAAACCACTGCTTGTTGAGCTGATAAATGATTGATTGATGTTCAATCTATTATTCACACTGATCAGTTTTATAACATTTTTACACCATTTTGCTCCAATATTTGAGGTCAGAAATGACAAAAAGTCCTTTTAAATATCTATAGTTACTGAGTAGAGTAAAATGCTAGCAGAGCAAATCAGAGCTGATTGGTTGAGCCTGACTATTCATTCATAAACTTGAAAATACAGTAGCAGTTGAAAAAACAATTCTAACTCAAGGTCTACTTAATCCCTTGCTCTCAATCTTTTGATTTGATTTGATCTAGGTGCAGTTTATGATGTACTTCTTTATCCCCAAAATCTGAATAGATGGCATGGAGGCAGAGGACCATGGCTGTGAAGTTAAAGTCCACCCAATGGAGGTTGGCTATAGGGGCTTTGTAGCCAAGTAAGTTGTCTCTATGCTAGGTGAGTTAGGTATAAAGGGGCGGAGCCGAAGACAGGTAATTAGGAATCTAGCTGGTAGCATAGCAAGGTCCAGTGAGTGGCTTTGGAGCAAAAGAAAAGTGGTCAATGGGGTAAAGAAGGGTAAGTGTTTTGAACAAATTGTAAAATGCATCATGTGTGGATTACACCTACTAAGCTGAAGTAAACTACCATAAGAGGACAGGCTTAACAAAATTGTTTGATATATGTGACAGGCTTCAAGCCTACTTCCTGGTGTTAGCATTGCCAAGCTAACATGAGGGCATAAAAGTTTGACTAGTGTGTTGGAGTGAATGCTAACACAGGGTGGATTCTCATTCAGCACAAAAAGGAGCAGAGGTTTGGCTAGTGGAAGTGTTAGAGTTATTTTAAATGTTTGGTGGCTAGAACAGCAGTTGAAATGTTTTCTAGTGGTTGTTTGGTAACAGCCTTAACTATTAAAAGAGTAGATGAAGGGTTGTGTGTGGGTGCAGGCAAAGAGCAGGGTGATTCTGGGATGCTGGAAAACACTGTTGAGCCTTCTTGGTGCCATGGGCCCAGCTCAGAATGCCATTTAGTGAGAGGTTGTCCACCTGATGACCTTGTAGATTTGCCTTCACTCCTCCACCTATACAGAACCTTTATTGGTATTGGTGATAATATAGTTATTGACTCACTGGGGCTGATAGTGGTGTATTCTTCTTTTGTTTGAGTCTTGGTGGAGCAGTGTCGATGGTTGCACAATTGAACAGATTCAACTCAGAGGTGATTGCCACTGCCTAACCTGGACCAATACAATGTAGATGCCGTGTGGATAGCCACATATCTGCTCTTTGCTTGGGTGAGGATAGGATTCAAGGATGCTTTGTATTAAGGGTAGACTAGGTCTGGAAAATGGTGTTGCTTATTGTGGGGCTCAAAAAATTTATGATGGCATGGTTTGACACCCCCTTCTTTGGGGCTAAGTAATGGATAAACATTTAACTCATATACTGAGCTTCCATATGAATGCTTTCCCATTCTTTGGCACACTTGCGTATTATTGACTCACACAGTCCTAAGTAGCTTAATACATTTGCTCAGTTACCATGGAAATGTGGACATTGTCCATAAATATATTTAGGGCTTTTTATCCACATTAACATAAAAGTTGAACGTTTATGTCCTTGGCCTTGGAAACAGCAGTTGTCAAAACAATCACAACTAAAAGTCCACTTACTTACTTGTTCTTGATCTTTTCATCAGGCTTTACTCTCCTCAGTTAGCTTGGTATTTAAGCAAACACTTGAATTAGCACACCCACTGAGTAGACCCTGAGAAGTTTTGCAGCCATTGACTACAAATGCAGTGTACACATATTGTAATGGGCAGGCTAACTATTGATGCTTGCTAACCATCTGAACCCATAATTAAACCTGTTAAGTATGTGTGTTACCAAGCAGGAAAACCATGAAGGGCACAGTCCTCGAGTCATTAACGGTTTTTAAAATTGTGTTCAGTCAAAGAAGGAAATGCTCTTATCTGCCTTTGTCTCATAATAAATATGTTGCATTAGTGACCTTCTGTTTCTCTACCAGCAATTCACCAGAAAACCCTCTTTCACGAGTTCTTCCCTGGAGCGGGAGTCTTTCTTGTCTGAGCCCCTAAATCGCTTTAAAGCAACAATCCATCATTTAAAAGCTATTCTCTGAAATTGTGACACTCTAATCCATTGCAGTTTGGTGCTAATATTTTTCATTCAGTGGCATCTCTCTGTTTTACAATCTGGGTTTTGCTGCATTTGACCTCATTTCCTTTGCAGTTGTAAGAAAATTTAAATGATCAGAGTATTGCATTATGGGGTTAACATGTTTGTGTCCAAGTACAGTCTAAAATTCAACCACTGCGCTGGAGAGAAGGCAAGATGCAGGAAATGAAAGTAGTAATAAATTCTTGGGAAAACCTTGTTGCCCCTGAAAGACTCTTTTAAAGGGCAGCCAGACATAAGCACATAAGCATGTGTCATCTTACAAAGTGAAATCCCAGCCAAATAAACGTACAAACCTTCACACAAGCTTTTGTTTTTCAACTATTCTTTCTTTTAACTTTAAAAATAATAAACAAACCAATTTTAGTTAAAGCTGCCTCACAAAAAACTTGCATTATTTCATGGTTTTATTTAAAGGGATATTTTCATATGAACACTACTGCAACAGCATTAAAGTCACTTGCAATTGTGCCTTGAGTTCTTGTTTTAACAACTGTCCAAGAGGCCGTTATGTATATTTAGAGGAAAAAGGTAATGAAGCATCCAAAGTACAACATTGATTTTGAGTTGTGTTACTCGGATAGAGGCTTATCTTAAACATTGAGTTTCTTCATCGTTTTAGCTGTTGCATGTCCATCCTGAACATCACAGCTGCTATTGGCCAACAGGAGGATGAAACCCAGGTACTGCTGCAAGCAGAGAGATTAGCGTCTGTGACCCTCTATTGTCCATATCTCCTGTCCCCTTCAAGGACTTGGCCTCACTGCCTCTAAAACTCTCCTCCCTGTCTCCTCTGTTTAGTTTTGTTGGGGTATAGGGAGGGTTTAAATGTCGCCAGTCTCCGCTGAGCTGTTTTCTGCGCCCAGCGGCAGACCGGAGGTTGGTGCAGCTCCCAGTGACAAAGCTGAGCCTTTCACTGTACCAGTAAACTAAAAGGTAAATGGTTGCCAGCGTCAATCATCTGCAGGGAACAGAAAGGATGTGAGAGAGCATCCTCCTCCCCTGCTGAGGCTACAGCAGGCTTCCTTTTGCAAGAAGTGCACCCCCTTCCCTCCCTCATGGCTGTCTGAAAGGGCAAGACATGGAGGAAGATGATTTGAAGTCAGTCACAGAACCATCTTATTGTCCTCTAAATATGGTCGCTAGAGTTTAAGCTTTTATGCCATCTCATGAATAGTATATTCTTTTTGTCCTTTGTACAGTGGTTCAGTAACAGTATTTCTTGTCAGTAACAGGCATGGGGGGGGGGAAGTACTTTCACCTTTGTACTGTTTATTTCTAAACTTCCTTGGCCTCTGCAGCTAGTTTGGTTTTGACATTTTTATAAATGTCTGTTCCCCTTTAGTGTAATAGCCTACACAAAGCATTACCTGCAGTTTGGATCCAGATAAACAGGCATTTTTAAGCCAAGCTAGCAGACATGCCGGTCAATTAATCAGCTCAGTTATGAGCTATAACTGAAATAGTTCAGTAATCATTGAATAGATTGCTGTGAAATTTGCAGACATTCATGGACCCCAGAGGATGACTCCTAGTGATCTTGTTGACCCTTTGACTTTTCTGCCAGCAGATGAAGCTTTGACTGAAATGACTCAAGAACTACTGGATGGACTTGTACTTGCCTCGATTACCTGTAATAACTTTGTCTAGCACCACCATCAGGTCAAAATATAGACTATTTGTCTAACACTTTTGGTTTATGACCAAATAATGATATTCCATCAGCCTCAGCTATTTTGTGCTAATTAGCTAATGTTAGCATACTAACATGGTTAATATGGTAAGCATAGGCTACATGCTGAATGTCAGGGTATTATCATTGTGAGCATGTTAATGTTAACATTCAGCTCAAAGACAGTTCTCTGTTGGTGGTTTTACATAAAAAAACAACTTGTGGTTAACTGCAATTTAATTAAAGTGCTAGTGTGTTCACCTTGTTTAGACATTGTAGCATGAATTATGGCCCAAAACACATTTAGTCATGATAACAGTTGAAGTGAGGCTTGTAGAAACAGATTCCAGGTTGTCCAGCCTGTCTGTCTGTCTGTTAAGGTTCTGGTCAGTGTTAGAGCAGTAATGCTTCACCGAGAAGACACTCAACAGATACCTGTTCCAGATCCATGGCACAAACACACCCACTTCTTTCTCATTGCTTCCTGTGTCTTCTGTGGGCAGGCTACAGCCATGGCAACCCCTACATGCCTCCTTCAGCTGCAGCAGATTTCTAGAAGCAGAAATAAGAGCTTTGTGACTTGTGCCTTCTGGGATATAGAACTGCTCTGTATGGGTCATATTATAATGGTAACAAATGATTCATTGTTAATGCTACATTAGAGACTTGGAACTATTTCCTGCTGTTAACTTCACAAAGATACTCCTACAAGCAAACCATTGAAAGAGAGAGCTCCTTGGATAAAAAAAGAATAGCTGATAGACTTACATTTGCACAGATAAACAAGATTTATATTCGATGGGTGTTTTTAACAGAGGCTGGACCAGAGCTAATAGTCAGGGAACTATAATGATAAATGTGGCCAACTGACAGAAAACCTTTTGTGGAGAGGCTTTTGCATGAAAAGTTTCCTCTGAAGCCAGCTATAAAAGCAGTTTTAAATTAGTACCATAAATAGCAGCCTTAGGGCATCTAAATTTTTCCCATAAAAATAAATTTGAGGTGGTTTCCTATCCCCAAAGGAAGCAATAAGGGTCTTAAAAATTCTTAAGATACTTTGATAAAGACCTGGGTCATGATTTTCCTACAACCAAGCCTTAAACATGAAAAACAGAATGATGTTCACAATCCCATCCTGTCTCATGGGGGTGTATTCCCATTTACAGCTGTTAACACTTATTTCCATCTTGCAGCCTCTTTGTAAATGCGAACACATAATTCAACATTAGACTATTCCCCTACTTGTTTGTGGTCCCCATGTGTGTGCGTGTGTGTTTTTAAACACCTTAATTCTCTTTGATAACAGTACTACCAGCACATGGCTAGCAGACCCCCCCCCCATTTAGGTTTTGTTCATTTGTAAGCCAGACACCCCATACAACACTGGAGTGTTAAATCTCTAGGAGATTGAGGGATAAACATTTTACAGCTCAAAATTCTACAAACTGAAGACATATTTGTGTTCTACCATAGTCTGATCACGGCAAAGAACTTTTAAAAATCTCACTGCTGGGGTGAGACATTAATTAATAATTAATTTTTCACTGCTGTGTAAACATCACGCAGTCAATCTGGTTAATCTTTTAACTCTCAAATCAAATTCGACATAACTAATGTTCCTACGTTTGTAGCTCGCCTTTTCAGTTTGACCCTCTGCTGTTTCCGGTTTACTGTTCTTGTGGTATTCAAGTGGGCCAGACTGGAGTCATCCTAAGCAGATGGAGCATGTCAAAAACTGAAAAATGTCTTTACTTGTGTCTTTGGGGAACTGAACTCTCTTTTCAAAAAGATCAGATCAGGTCACAATAAACTATAATAACATTTCCATTCATCAACTCAAGAGTGCTGGAGGGCCAGTGCTTAACATTTCTGTCTGTCTTGGTGCACAGAGCTCAGTTCTCCAACAACCTAAACAATGACTTCCTCATAGCAAAGGGAAAAAAAAGTCATGTCATAATTGCTACATTGACCTAAATAACATCTTTGTAAAGCTATTTTTTTCAGCTTCCTTTTCCCACCTTAGCTCTTTGTCATTCATCTGAGTTTTAAGTGCCATAAAAGGCAAAACTTTATAACTGCCACCTGGAAAAGTGACAGTGAGCTCTGCTTGGACTGGTTGCAAATGTATGATTTGCATTGTTAGACAAGTTCCTCATATGCGTTATAGTTACATGCTGCCTTTGTGCATTATTGTTTACTCAAGCTACATTCATAAAGCGCCATCATGACTCAAAGGGATTTAGCTCAAAACAGGCAGCACAGCGGTTTGTGTTATTGCCTCACAGCAAGGAGGTTCTGGGTTTGAGCCCAGGCTGAGTTGGGCCTTTCTGTATGGAATTTGCATGTTCTCCTCATACCTGCACAGGTTCACTCCAGGTGCTCTGGCTTCCTCCCACAGTGCAGTTGATGGATGACTCTAAATTGCCTGTAGGTGGGAGTGGTTTTGTCTACACCAGCCCTGTGATAGATTGGTGACCTGTCCAGGGTGGACCCTGCCTCTCACCCAGTGTCAGCTGGGGTAGCCTCCAGCCCCCCTGTGACCCTATTCAGGAATAAGCAATATAATGGTTGGATGGCCATATTTCAAAACGTACAGTTTAAACTTTTTTTTTTTTTTACCACAGTGAGCAGACAGCCACTGATTTTTGTGGATTACTGCACTGAATCGACCATTTTAGAATGTGGCACTTCCCCAGTAAAAATGCCTGAGGATGAAACTTTCTCTTCCCTTTTGTACTTTTAGCCTTTCTCCACCTATTTCCTGTAAAAGGTCAGTTCCTCCAAATAACACATACCCAACACAATAGAGGTTTATTTATAGTCTCCAAAGCCTTATTTTATTTACATATGAAAACTTTTCATGGGATTGTATAAATGGAGAAAGAGTACTCTATTGCCAGCTACTATTTAAAAGCTGTACAGACATTTTGGAAAGAATGTTATTTTGTAAAGATAAAATTACTGTGCTTCAACAATTTAGAGCAGTTAGATCTGGATGTGTGTAGAAGTGCACCAATTACCTGAGGTAGTCTAAATTATATAGACTATTTTATGATAATACTAAACATTATTGCAGAATCAGATAAAAACAAAAGGGAAACATACAAGTTCAAGCATTTGAACATTAAGTTTAATGGTGCTGTAATTCAGTGGCACAGAGTAGGAATAATAGTGACCTGCAGGAGGCCAAATTCTAAGAAATATCACCTCATTACACAAAATGTTGCATTACACATCGGACTGGAAGATTGTTAAAGGGTATCCTGTTTCACATATCAGAGTAGGCACACATCTGTTGTGTAATTTTTCTTTCCATTTACCTTCTGAAAGCACAAAACACCTCAAGAAAAAATGTCCTGTGTTTGTGTAGTTGCTATTTAAGCACCCATTTAATAAATGCATCTCTGTGCATTGTAGTAGTCAACTAAATAGTAAAGCAAGTACTTGCACTTTAGTTTGTCATATTAGCATAAAAGTCTGTGATTTTCAGATTCAACATTAAAAATGTCAGTGATCTCATAATTTGGACATATTCAAATGGCATTTCAACTGTGAAGCAAGATTAAATTTCTTTTACTATGATGCCATCATGTGGTACACAAATGAATAACAAAACCTGATTGTTTTATACTCTTTATTTACAAAAACATTTAAGATGCCCACTGTCATATGAGAAGCGTGCATTATATATACACACGCACCACTAATTTATTCAAAAGTGCACTTGGCGAGATGAGAACAAAGTGCTTAATTTTAAATTAAAATGTGCCGCCATGCATGTGTTACATTAACAAATCTAACATTTTTAATGCATTGGGCAAAAAAAAACAAAAAAACCAACACTACATAAAAATAAAAAGCTAATAATTCCCATGATTACTTTATTTCATAATCTTAAATGTTCTTGGAAGTTAGCAGAAAAAGGACAAACTAAATATATCAACCCCATTTGCACTTTAGCCATTAAGAATCTTTACATGTGGAGCCACAGATTTTATAGTTTTACTAGAAATTACTCCAAGCCACAGAAGTCATAGTGAGGACAATGTTTCCACTGTGGTGCCAGTTTTATCCAACAGGAATTCCCAGTGGTTCAGATGCTTGCTCTATAATCTGGAGTATGGCATGCTGGTCACATGGAGGGGGAACCAGTGGCTACAATGTTAATACACAACAATACATTGTTACTTGACAATCAAATAAAATTGGTCCAGAAAGTCTAATCTGAGCTAAAAACAATCTGGACAGGAGGTATAGCAACTGTGGTGTGATACGATTCTGAGGGAATCAGTTGAAGTCATTGTCTCACAAACACCAATACTCACACTTGAGTTGGAAATAGCAGGGCTCGCAGTAGGGCTTCTCATTTCGGATTCGAACCTGGACTCCAGTCTTAGCTCCTCTGAGACGTCGTCGGCAGCCCACACACTGGGAGAAGCAGGAGGTGAGGAGAGAGTGGGGAGAAAAAAAAAAAAGATTACTTAAGAGAAATTCAGCTTACCTGTGACGTGAGCCTTTTGTGTCTAAATTACCACCATCACCAGATGTGTCCATCACCCATGTGCAGAAAAAAACAAAAAGCTTTGTTTTTGCATAAATGCACACAGTGTCTAAATCTATGCTGTGAGCATCTACAACTCATATGGAGCAGAGGTGAATGTTTGTCTGTATGCTAATAAACCAAAGTCAACTAAATCTGGGGGTCCTCTGCCAGCGAGATTTTCACAATAAACCTCCAATAGTGAAGCAGGCTGACTTCTTCCATCACCCAATCCTATGCAGAAAAATCTAGACAGAGAAACAGACTGGTTGGAATACAATAAACTACATATCCGAGACTCCTGTTGACCTTAAAGGTATGGTACACACACAGTCTTTGGTCTTGAAGTTTTCACCACAACAAGCATGTCACAGGTGCAACATGGGTAATACATAACATTTCCATACTGGTACTGTAATGTGATTATCAGTTTGTTTCAAAACAAAACAGCTGGTGGTGCCAACTCCCCAGTTAGATGCCATTAAAACCACTGAAGATGAGCGCTGAGTGAGTTGACAAGAGTGCCACATGGAACAACATGAGATGTGGTTACTTTGTTTCATGTATTTAACAATTAGTGCATGTTGTAGTTTTTAATTATATGAACTTAAATTTTCCTGTAAAGCACAATCTATACTGTAGATCACAGACTTGTCGACAAATTGTCGCCTGCCATTTTCATCTCTTCAGTGGAGAGAAAGCTCGAGTGAGAAGTCATGTATCATGCGCCTCCTGATTTGCCATTTTAATTGCACTCGCATCTTTTCTTGATACACCAAATTTTCTACCTCTGCATAAGCGTAAAAAAAACTTGCAAGATTTTGACTTTTTCAAATTTCAGGCATTTCCACTCAATTTTAAAAAATAATGTGCGTAACACACGTGGAAGGAAACATTTTATGAGAGATGCTGTGATTGGTAAGTCAGGTAAATTCTCCATGGCATTGTGGCTTCTACTGGCCAACCATTTGAACTTAAATCAGTGCCGAACAAAAAGGTGACCTGATAGAGCTTCTACCCAAAAAGTGACTTAGGAAAGAGATGCAGTAGTTATTTGCAAAAACTGACGGCACCTTAACCCGGTCACGACCTCTCACCTGGAAACAGGAGAGGTGGAAGCAGAGATTAAGGGCCTCTATGACCATGGCTGCCCCACTACCCAGGGTACGCTCACACACACAGCAAGTCCTCCTGTCACTGAGCATCCTGGGGCAGCACGTTAACAGCGTGAGGCCAAAATGTATGATAAGATATAGAATATTACATACCACAACATGCATAAGAGACAGGCTCTATAGTCACATTAATTACAGACCTGGCATGATGTGATGAGTCTGTGGGTGGGTTTCTCTGGGATACTATTGCTCCAGTGCTGTAGCGGGAGGAGAAGTTCCTACTCGGAGTAGAGTAACCTGCAGCAGCTGAGTGTGGGCGAGGGTAACTGAATGTAGTGACCAAGACTGGGGACTCGTGCAACGTATCCAGGTTGTCCAGAGAATCATATCTGAAGAGAACATGTCATGGTTCAGAACATGAAAGGAACAAAGACTAGGACCGAGTCCAACTTGAAATCCAGTTTGGATGAAGTACAAACAGGACCCACCTCTTCAGAGGAACCTTGACTGGTTCTTTGTGAAAACTGCCGGTGGGGTTACGAGAACGTATCCAGCTGTTGTCAGTCAGAAGCTGAGTCCTTTGCTTCATCTCCTCTAAAATCTCCTGCCTTTCCTTCTCAGCCTTAGACAGTGACTGTCCTTTTCTTTTCCTCTGATCACCTAGACCAAACAGAGTTTAGGGGTTAGCCCAGTATATCAAGTAGAGAAGGGATCATTATGATATCGAGGCAGTCTAACCTCTTATCTGTTTGTAGGGGGCAGATAATGCTGGGGTAGACAAGGACTTTGTCCTGTGGCAGAGAAAGACAGTCCAGGTTAGTCCGTGTTTAATAAGAAATCTTCAGAAAGACTGGGATTTTAGGGTCTGCCCCAAACAGGTTGCATGCTTATGTTTGCTTCAAGATGCAGTAACTAGGCCCAAGTCATTTTGAGTCTGAAAATACGAGGAAACAGAGCTATTCTTGCTCTGACCTGTGTGCGGGAGACAGCTGAGCAAAGCCACAGGAGTCTTCTGCCCTGAGATACAGCATGGATAGCATTAACACCCGGCAGAAGCAGCAGGGAAGCACAGCAGATTCAGCAACAGCAGTCAGAAAAATGTGTTAATAAAGCCCCGTTTTCAACAGAAAGTACAACTTTTGTGGTCTGCATATAACACACACACTCTGCAAGGATGGAACAGAGTTAAAAATATAGCTGCTATTACAACAAAGAGAAAACCTTTACCATTCTTGTCTGGTCAACTTGTCATTCTGTGCTCCTCGTGCGTTACTTTGAGGTTTGGATCCAGCTTCTTTAAGCTCATCTCTGTTAAAGTTCCTTTCTTCTTCTTTGGTTTTGTTTTTCAATCCATTCACATGGAACTGGGTGCTGGCAGAGCTCTCACTCCCATTGGCCATCTCATAAGTATTCTGTATGGGAAAACAGTGCATTCAGAGACAATGTACAGCAGTGAGTTAAGCTGAACCAACTTCAAATGGCTCTAGTGGGATTCCTAAAATTGTGTTAAAAGAAGGCAAGCATCAGAAAACATGCATCTTATTAGCAGTAATGGTGAGGATGGCAGGTTGTACTTGTGTAATCACAGATGCATCAGTGCTAAAGCTTCTAAGTACAAACTCATATTTTAACATCACAGTGCTAAGGAAACCATAATCCTGATTAGAATCTAGCTCAGTGGGTTATGAACATGTTTGTACAAACTTGTATTTGGATTGAAGAATCTGCAGATAGAAATAAATCAACGGTCACATAGGGACCACAACTTTAATGCATATACTTAGGCTAAACATTAAGCTTGTTTCTTTAGGACTCTATAGAACTAAAAAAAAAAAAAATGGACAGAAGCAGTTAACTATAAAAATGGCTGCAGATTGGAAGTCACATATTACCCCTGACTTTATGCACAGCTCCCCCCTTGCATCTTGCTGTGCCTTTCGCCACTCTGCTTCCAGCCTCTCCTGATCCCGTCGATACTGCTCCTGCACAAACACAGAAACTCTGTGTAAAACCTGCACCAAGATTTAAGAATATTTCCTCTCATTGTAGTTCTTTGTTTGGAAAAAGTTTTCACCTGGAGGAGGCGCTCTTGCTCTGCCTGCCACCTCTCCTGATGCCTGCGATCCTCCTCAGGGTCCCACAACCAGCTGGATGTGGAGGGGTTGAGGGATGGCACCTGGAGCTGATGGTGCATAGAAAGACTGCAGCCTTAAACATGTTCATGGTACAGTACACTGACTCAACACGCGCAAGAAAGACTGCAGCCTTAAACATGTTCACGGTACAGTACACTGACTCAACACGCACACACACGTTTGAACATGCATAAACAATCTTATCAAATGATATAGTAACTTACATCTGATATTGCAGATTCTGAACCTCCTGCGAGAGAAAATATTGGGTCAGCAAAGACATTGTACAGTAGCTCCTAATGATGATTAAGTTGTGTGTACTATCAGAGGTCACACCTACACCACACAAAAACTGGGGACACATTAGAAGAGCCTTTTGAAAATCCACTGGATGACTTATGTACCATGCTATTGTCTTTGCCTGAATAACTGAAAATACTACAAATATTACTTTATCCTACTAACCTTTTAACATCTTATTACACAGCACACACAAATTGGAGTACAACTGTGCTTAGAAACAGTAACATGAACTATACAGTTTGCATTAAAGTCATAGCTCGAGGTCATTAGGATGCTTTGCAGTAAACAAAACTTAAGTATACAACCCTGCTAGGGGCCTTAGTGTCTACAATGTTCAATGAAGATCAAAATGCAAACAAATTGTGGAAAATAAGCAATATAGTTTCTCTTTATAAAGTTTCTGCAGGACTGGCTAAAATACCTGGTTATATTTATAAAACTGTCAGGCAGTTCACATATCCGAGTAGATAAGAATAGTTTAGATTAAATCTGTACACTGCCACAAGCCAAGATCGTCTCTCTAAATTAGCACACTAATCTGCCAATGTATCCCCAGCCTAAAGATACCACATGCAAATTGAGCTATGAGTTAAACACGCCATAGTAAACAAATACAGAGCAGCCACATGCTGTATGAAAACACAAACCCGCTACATTCATTTGCTGATGCTGCTCCACAAACAGATTTTAGATGTTGGCATGTAGCTCAAAGTATAGTTTTATGGGGGGGGGGGACGACACTACACAGGACACGGAGTAAAATCTTTACCACACAAATAAACCCATGAGCTGAATCCAGCAGAGCCTGAAGAGAGAAGCCACCAGATTCATTAACAACCACAAGCAACAGCATTACACAGTCAATGTGCAAAATAATGCAAAAGTGACCAATTAAAAAGTTGCAATCCTGTAACACATGGAATATTAAAGTAGAAGGAGCATTTGTTGCACAGCACACAAGGTACAACAGAGATATGATCGGTGCTGTCAGCTCTGTGGTTGTTAGGTACAGTTCTACCAAAACAAGTAGTGTCTGAAAAAAACCACAAAATGGCTTTTTTTAGTACGGAAATATAGTAAGCAAAGGGTTCTCATCTAATCACTGTGCACTCAATTCATTTTAACCAACAGCCCCTTCATAAAATCTGAGCAAAAGCCTATTGAAAGTGCATTTTTGTTAAGCCAAGCATCAGCCACCAAAGCTGCTGCACAAGGAACCAAAGTTCCAACTGAAATTTTACCTTGCTGTTTGAAAAATTCTGCCCTCTTTTTCAGGTTTTTCCTAGTAATTTTATTACAATCTACATGAAGAGGAAGGACAGTTAAGGTGACCAACTGAGGAGTTGTTACAAGAGACTCATGTTTTGAATAGCGGTGCCATTGCTATTGCAAGTTTTATGCCTGTTATTGCTGTACCTTTACTTTTGGCTGTCCTGTGGCTGTCAGCAAGCTCTCCATCAATGACTTTACCTTGTATAACCTGGGCAGGTAAAAGGGCACAACAAATCATCAGAAGAAGAGCATCCATTTTTGAACTGAAGTGATAACTTACTAAAACACTACTCACATTGTCTGTCTGCCCATTGATTTTGGACAGTTTTGCAACTGTGGTATCTACAGACACATCACTGTTGACATGGTGATCAGGGCGACCCACCCTCACGGGTGTCGTTGCAGTCAGGTTGAGGGCCATCCTGCTTTGGCCCAGCTGGTTATGTTGGCTCCCCTCACTGGTGCGCCAGTCTAATGACAACAACCAGCCATCACAACTAAAGCGTCACAGTGAATTAATGTTTATGATGTTAGAGATAACACTGCAATCAATTTCAGGAAGGGGTTAAAAATAAAAACACATACTGTAACCGTCTTTGCTGGCTCATTATCTTACCCTTATTGCCATAGCGCCGAATGTCCATGGTCAGACTGCCAGTTTGCAGAGCATGTGTCATTTTATCCTTCCACTGGCTGTAGCTCATGTGTGCCACTGCAACTCCATCAACAGCCACAATCTCATCGCCCACACACAGCTGGCAAAGCTCTGCTGGACTGCCTGAGCAGAGAGGAGGGACAGGCATCAGGAAAAAGAAGATAGATGAGAACAAGGACAGGATAACATAAAAAAAAAAAAAACTGAGAAACAAGGCACAGCATTAAAGTCATGCTTGCTGCTCCAAGTTGGAAAGTAGGCCATTAAGGCAAAAGTACACAGTAGCGAGTAAGTGAGATGTCTCTCACATCTAATTAAATATTTATGGTTGAGCTTTAACTCACTGGCTGCATTTTGATGCACAGGGAGTAAATTGTTGCAAATTCTGAGATAGCACAGTGAAATGATCAGTGGGATGTTAATTTTCCACTGACCTTTATGCTTGTATTAAATCTGTTTTTGTAACTGTTTGCAAAATAATAAACTAATCTAGAAATTTCCTTTTCCTAGCTATAAATAAAAGGCATTCTGCACTCCCAGTAAATTACATCAAAAACTTAATTAGGTTTTGCTGTGTCACTTCGCAGTTCTGCGAACTGTCAGTGTCTTACACTGCTCTTCTAAGTGCGAGCTGTGAAAGCAAATTTGCTCCTGGAGGAGGAAAACATTCTTGTTTCAGGGTACAAGACTTAATTCTCAATACTATTTCAGTCTAACCACAGATGTACCAAAATTGCAGAAGTCCACAATTAAATACAGCAAAGGCCTTACCAGTTTGAATGAATTTCACTCTTGCCCCTGTGGAGTCCCAGTGAGTCTGGAAACCAAAGTTTGCTATATTGTTGGGTTTAAGAGTAAGGCTCAGTCTCCTGTCACTGTGATCCACCTGAAACACACAACAGCGTGCACACATGTGCCACAGGTAAAGCTGACACCCTGTGATCCAGTGTCCTGTGCTTCCTGGTGGAAATTAGAGACCTGCTACACAAATATGGTAAGGGATACACCAACGGACCCACCTATGTGCACTGTTAGTAGCCCTACAACAAATACCATATTTGTAAAGTTTCTAATGATCAGGTTTTGTTTTGTTGCCAGATGCTGATTCTGACTTGCAGTAAAAGCTTGGTTTGCGAGTAACCTGGTCTGCGAGTGTTTTGCAAGACTAGCAAATTTTAACATGATAAACGAGCAAGGTCTTGCAATATGAGTAGTACGTACGCTTTGTTTGCTGAGCGTCATGGCACAACTGAGACGATGGTTCTCGCGCCTCACTCGTATAGTCAACATCTGTACTGCAGCAATGGCCCAGATGAAGACAAAATAAAGGTTGAAAAGAAAGGTGGTAAGAAAAAGGAAATCATTGTGACACATGAACGATGTATGCGAGTGGCCGACATCCCAAGATTTTATAAGGGAGATGTGTAAAATGTGGGAAACACTGCAAAATTTTGTAGGAAAGCACCACCCGAATAAAGCTGTAGCAGAACAAACGATAAATCTGTTTAACGACAATGCAATGCCACATTTCTGCTAAATCCTCAAAAGGAGGCAAAAGTAAGTGTCATTGGATAACTTCCTTGTTAAGGTCACACAAAAAGAAAAAAATTTCAGCGAGCCAACAGATAGCTCCTCTCTCGTCTTCCTCACGCCAGCCACAATTCTTTTCAAAAGGTAAAGTGCAGGTTAATTTGTTTTATTTTTACTTTATATTTTGTATTACTGTAATCATTTTTGTATAAATAAGAGGTTGCAGAACAAATCATCTGAGTTTCCATTATTTCTTATGGGGAATTTTGCTTTGATATGTGAGTGCTTTGGATTACAAGCACGCTGTTGGAACAAATTATACTCGCAATCCAAGGTTTTACTGTATATAATAGTGATCAAGCATTATATTCAGATGTCTGCCATTTTGGCAGACATCCCAAATGCATACATGGTGTCAAAACCAAACATTAGATTCAAAAGATACTGTAAGGTGGTAACTGCGTATATGCACATGCTAGCTATTTTATGGCTAATCCTATTTAAAGTGCTCTGCACACCTACACAACTAATGTCACTTCCTCTGCTAATTAGATTGAACTCAAGTTGAAGGTTTGGTGGAGCTATTGTATACTGGGCATATCAAAAACATAAGTATTTCAGTTGCCAGTTATTTTCATGGCAGACATTTTGACTTGCATAGCAGGAAAGGCACAGGTTAAACACCTTTTATTAACGATAACTCAATTCTAATGTCCTAGTAAGCCATGACAACAAACCAGCCTGAGGCCTATTCCAGAAAGTTGGACCACCAAACTGAACTGTGAGTTGACTAACCCTCCGATTGGAAACCGAGTTTGATTCTGGAACAGCTGATCAGTGTTAGTTTATTATTAGTAATTAACCCTGAGGTGATTCACTCAGTTACAGTACGCATATGCAGACATAGTTAATATGAACTATGAATGAGGAAATGAGTGTTGGACACGCTACTCAGACTGCAGGAGGGAGGAGACAGAGATGCAGGGACTTTTGAAGAAAACCTGCCAGTGAGTAGGTTAGATTCACAGGGTAAGTTATCATAGTAACTGACTCAGAGATCAAGTGATCTCCATTTCTGAAGCGTGTCCCCCCCCCATGACACAAATAGTAAGCCATTTTAATAGAGGCAGTGGCAACTTGTGTTACAAATAGAAAAGACTTTTAGTCAAAACTCTAGTGTGCACTCTTTTCTGCATGCCTCCCTGGTGGGCAGTGAAAACCTATTATTTGTCTATAGTACTTGACACCTGCTTATTTATGTCAGTAGCTGTGTGCTGAAAATACTACAACATACCTTTGTAGATGGCAGACCTGTGCTTGTGTTGCTGTTGGACTGCGGGTTTGAATAAGGCTGTGATTGTAGCTGGGTTTGATGGTAATAGGTGCTGGTCTGGAAGGCGACTTGGCTGGGTGGAGAAAGAGGATTCTCTCCCTCACTATTCAGACACAGTCCCTGGTTGTCATCCATCTAGAGTTGAAGACAATATGTGCTTAGCAGGACAAGATATAGACTAAACTGCACCATATATTTGGCAGCAGTGACTGTACAGTAAGACACGTTTAACTGTGCAGCAATATTTATCAATGATGAGGGCAAATAAAACAAAAAGGTAACAAGCTTATGAATATTACTGATAGTACCCACAAACAGGAAATGCTGTCATTACATTAACTAGCTTGAGTATTTGCCTCTCTGGCACCAGTATGGACAGAGTAAGCCACAATTATTATTGGCTAGAGTGTAAAATATAATAAGCAGGTGGCAAGTTCTTCTTTAAAAGCTCTTACACCAGGGAATATTTTCAATTTTTCCCATTAGGGAAACAGACTTATCTGCTGTTTCTGTACTGCAATCCATTTCTATTGCCACAATCAATAGCATTTTTAGAGCTTCTTCATTTCATAGTTGCATTGATGCAGGATATAAAGCCTAAATAAATCACAGGGATAGACTGTTGAAATGCAACAGTGTTCCAGTTTTAGTTGAAACTACAGATCCCAGGGGTAAGAGTTTGTGTTCTTAAAATTAAAATGTCTTACCTGTTTTGGTCTTTTAATGAAATTTTTTGATAATAAATAAGGTAGAATGACAGTCAATACCATGAGGAAACACAATGTAAAGTAATTTGTCCCAGTTAATGGTGTCTTACTGTGTAGAAACTATTTGATTAAACTCACACTGAACAGTCTCGGCAGAGGGGACACCCTGCACGGTTTGGTCCCAAATGGTCTAGCTGTAATTGCAGAAGAAAGACGGGTCGAGCCCTCAGACCGCCTGAAACCACGTGGAAGGCTTGCTGAGCGGGACCATGACCCAGGTCTGGACAAGTATTTGTAGAGGCCAGCAGCCTGCTGGTCTCTGCCCTGCTCCTCAGCTGGTTCCCAAGAAGTCTTCTGGCTCTCCTCCTGGGACAAGCTCTCTTTGACCTCATTTCCCGTTTGACCAGATGCATCAGGGAAAACAGGTGGAACTTTTGGAAGCTCCTTGTGACTCAGCATATATGCATCCCTGGTGGTTGATTTTCTTGTCTCCAGTGGCTGTATGGTTGTGACTAGTGTGGAGGTTTGCCTTGTCAAAACATTTTCTGGCTGAGCTTGTTCAGATGGGGTCTGGTAAACAGATGGGCTGCCCTGGGTTTTGACTTTGGTCTTGGAACTGAAAGGGAGGTCCGGAGAAGGTGTGGTAACTCCTGTACCATCTGAAGCCAATGAGGCACAGTGGGTCTCTTCTCTCAGGATGTTCCTATCAGAGGCAGGCATTGTTCCAACAGATGATCCCTAAGAAGAAATAAGTGGACACTGGCTGCAGATCTGCCATTTAATAGTGTAAAATAAAAGAGTTTTGTTATACAGCTTGCTTTGCACAAATACACTTGTATCTGCGGAATCTGTTCTATAATCATTTGTTGGCAATTTCTCCACAAATACAGTAAAGTAGTCACAGCCAGGGACATTTATTAATGTCAGTAAGCCAAAATGGAACATAACCGCAAACCTACCTGAGAGTGGGCCAAGTTATGGGGGCCAAGTGAAGCCGTGGGACAGAACGGTGCCTCTGTGGCGTAGCTGCGGGCCAGCAGAGCTCGAGTACGTGGCCGGAGATTGGCGCTTGATTGTGATGAGGGAGAGGTGGCGCTAGGAAGGGGGGCAGGGTTATGCCTGTGAGGCGACTGCTGGTTTCTGGGGAATTGGCATGCAAGACAAAAGAAGTCAGTGTAATGAAAGGAAACAGAAAAGATAGTGTGCCATATTACAAGAGTTTACTGTGGCATACATAATAGTTATCAAGCTAGTTCAGCAGCTTTTCAAACACATTTTAAATAAATACTTGGTAGCAACACTGGAAGTGTAAGCTTAAGGTTTTCCATCACATATATGGCACAGGAGTGTACCTCATTAACAGTTTGCCTTCGTTCTTCTCCATGTTAGTTACAATCCCACTAGTCATCTGGTTAATGACATGCTCTCTGTCCTGTGACATTCTATGGATGTCAGGCTTTGTGCTCCTGCGACGATCTTTCCACTTTGTCAGGTCCTGAAACATAAGTCAACAACACCACTCTTGCTTCTGTTAATGTAACTGCAGTGTACTGTCCTTATCAATAAGTTTAATTATTCACAAAGTATTTAGCATACAAGGACTGTGTTTCAGCTATGATCCACAGAAGCAAATCAACAACCAACTAAGTAATAATTTTAAACATTTTATATCAGAAGTCCTTAAAATACTCAAGGGAAAAAATAAAAGAAACCTGAACAACTACAACAACTGGGCAAAATGCCATCTGCTCAAGATAGTGTGATAAACCTAACGGCTCTAGTACTACCACTAAATGGACCATATAGTGAGATCATTCTGGTTAAGACTGGCTCACATCACGCCACTGAGCTTCAGTGTCCTCAGCAGTAACGCTGTTCTGTCTGTTTTCTTGATTCCACTCCCTTGCTGTGTTCATGTCCTGGCCCACGTCATAAATGGTGTTCTCCTTAGGAACTCTACGCACAGGATATACCATCGGGATGTCACTGAGTGATTTGCTCCTGGTTCAGACACAAAGAAACAGGACATGGAAATAAATGAACCTAAAGATCAAACAAAGATACCTTTTTTAAATAAATAAAATCCAGTAGTATGCTGCATGAAAAGTGCCACATAGTAGCATAACACAAAACACACACACACACACACACACACACACACAGTATTAGCACTTGTGACGTAACACATTCTGCATTTAAACAACAAACTCCTTAGCCAAGTGTGAGCAGGGTAGTAGCATGCAAGTCAAGTAACACAGCAGTATAAATGGCAACAGATGTTTCTGTCTGGATAACACAATAGACTTGACTTGTAACAAGTCATAGCACTGCTGTGGGCAACAGAAGATATCAGATATGACATTCGAATACCTTACAGCAGCATTTAGCAGGTGGTATATCAAAACATTTGATGGGCGGATTGTGATTACAAGCAACACTGTAGTTTGTCATCAAGTTATGTGACAAGTCTACTAGTGGAGGGATACCATGCACCCCATCTTCAGGAATATGTAAATGCTGCAAACAGCATTTAGAGGTTCCTGAATTTCCTTTGGTAGCGAAGCTGAACACAAACCAAAGCAGGCTCAGATGAAGCAGCAACAAAAGTAGTTGGGATCAGAGTGGTCCCAGAGGCCTTTGCTCCAATTTTATACCCAAAATTTGGGGACTTACCAAATCCAGCCAGGGTTGACCTGAACTGGTCTCTCTGGCCTGATCTGGTTTTGATATACTCTATAGAACCAAAGAAACAGGCATGAAGACTGATGACTGCCATTATGCATCTAAATATACAGTCTGGGAAAAAAAAGGCAGGAATAACAAGGTGCCAAACAAAATCTTAAAACATTAAGAGGCAATGTTTAGATTACTTGCAGTACAAAGCAGACAATATTATTACCACTTAACAGCTTCAGTGCCACATCTGTTATACAAACCTACTGTAGACAAAGATTTTGGTAAGATGACTGTGTTCAGTGTAAAAATCCACATGGAGCACAATATTTAGTCAGTTTAGTGAACCACTGACACTATTTTGCCATACCAATGACAGCACAGACAGTAAACTAGAAAGTGGTGCTGGCACAAAAGGTGTTATAAATCACATGATTCTGTTATAGCTGTCAAAGTATGACATTGCACGTGACTCATCTGTTTAACTGTTATGAAGTCACTCAGCATGATGCTGTTGAAGAGTCCTCACATCATCAGCACTATAAAAAGGTGTCAGAGTAAATACCAGATAAAACATGCAGTACAAATTCAAAGCACAGTTCATTTGCAAGATAATCTCATACAATGCCCTTTTCATAAACAAAATTTGCATGTCATGCAGTTTGCTGATGCAGTAGAGATTTGGAAATGCAAATTAACAGGTGCACTTTGCCACTATGGTACGCTACGAGACAATGTGTAGGACAGTGTGTTAGAGCTTGTGTCAAGAGTCTGTGTAGCGTCTTAACGTTTGAGTATTTGGGACTGTGTACGCGCATATTTGGTATAGGAAAAGAGTGCATATTCAGGTTTAGAGGAGGGCTTTTAGCAAGTGTTATGAGGCTCTCCAGATGGGGTAGAGATGCTGTGCACAGCAGCATGTGTCACAAGCCAGAATATGAAGTCAAACTTTTTCTCAGAAGAACCCCAGGTTTTATGGCTATAGCCAAGGAGAAGGAAGAGAGGATGTATGAAATGAATGACACAGCAAAGAACAGATGGACTAAGATAAAAGTAAAAAAAAAAAAAAAAAAAGACAAGATGAGTCCAGCGATTTTAGTCAATCATCTTTTTTGCACAAAGCGCTAGCTATTCTCCTGACCCTAGCAAACTAGGATTTAGTTTACTTGGTATGGTGTAATTAAGCTGGATTTATATAGCTCAAAACAAACATAAGATAAATCCACATTACTTATGCACCACACAAAAAGGTATATTTGATGTAAAAGTTTCATATTGGCTTAAATGAAATGAATTAGGTCAAACACGCCTGCAGATTGACCCATGTAATGTCACCTTAAAGTTAACAAGAATACTTCTGTTCAAGCTATGCATGAACAACTCTGGACATTAATCAGAATCTGCTTTATTGGCCAGGTGTGTTAGACACACAAGGAATTTGACTCTGGTACAGCAGGTACATTAAGCAAACAGTACAAAACTGCAGTTTTAGCTTTGCCTGGTTTATGTAGCCCTGCTTTCACAACTTGCACTGTTACCACTGCCTTGTATGACAGAATAGTAAACACAGCCAACTGACCTTAAGCCTAGCATTTTTCAGTACTAGGGTCTTCTCTCTGAGCAGTTTTAGATTGTACGCATACGTATCTCCTCTTCAGGTGTCCAATATCAGGGCAAGAAGAGGTCATAGTTAGTGTTGGTATATGCTTGATGAAGGTTCTGCTGCATTCTGTGGAAATTCAACAAAGGCCAGATCTGGCTTAGCATAATATTCTTCTCCTTCTTCACACAGAGTCCGCAAAAAAACTCTAAGGAACACTCCAGAGGAGATGGAGTGAGGTGAGGTTGAGGAGAAAAAGGAGCAACTTCAATGCTGTAGCAGAGTGGTACCCACATCTATGTTTATTCACAGGGGTGGTGATAACATGGGCGTCTCTTTCAATAAAATAGTAACACTAAGTATCTCTGACAGCGCAAAGCTTCTCCAAATGTTAAAAAGGCAGAAATGTGACTGATGATTAATGCACTGAGGCAAACTGACCTCTTTTTAATATAGGGTTGCACAAGACTCTTCAGTTTCTGTGGAGTGTAGCAGTATCCCATGGGGTTAAATAATAGCTGAACCAAACAGAGCATTTAAAATCCACAGTTCGTTACACACCAGCTCTGTGCAGAATTAACTGGTGGAATGAGAACAGCTTATTTCCAGCACCTTGGTCTGCCACATCAGTTGGTAAAAAGCACCCGCGTCACTTAGTACAGAGTGAAAAAATTGTTCTGATGCAAATCTAGCAGGAAAGATACACTTAAAAACACAATATAAAAAAAAAAAAAAACCACATACCACTTTTCCGTGTTGTGAGAAAGTGGCTCTGTGCTTATAACTGTATCCATCAAATCTTGCCTGTTCACATCAAGTTTATTGAGGTGAGCTAGGACTTTGTGTGACAGAAAAAGTACTCAACTGAAAGTTAGTACAAAAAAAAAAAACCTCCAAACTGTTCCAAAGCCGAGCCGACAAACTGATCTGACAAAAGTAAAATTTGCTACAAAAACAGTTCAAACAACCCAGGTCATTATTCTACTGTATGTGTGACTCAGGAATAACATTTTCTTGGTATGTCCAAAGTCCAATTAAACATGAGAAGAGAGACAACAACCATTTTAACTTAATGGTACTATACAGACATAATGACATATACTAAAAAAAAATAAACTCGTAAGGAATGTGGTGAACAGGGTGATCAGTGAAGTTGGAAATTGAAGGGGTAATGTTGAATGTAGTCAGTAGTTATGCTCCACAAGTAGGGTGCGAGTTAGAAGAGAAGGAGATACTCTGGAGTGAGTTAGATGAGGTGATGGAGAGTATTCCCAGAGGGGAGAGAGTGGTAATTGGGGCAGACTTCAACGGGCACGTTGGTGAGGGGAACAAAGGTGATGAGGAGGTGATGGGCAGGTTTGGTATTAAGGGAAGGAACCTAGAAGGAGAGATGGTGGTGGACTTTGCTAAGAGGATGGAAATGGCTGTAATTAACACCTATTTCCAGAAGAGGGAGGAACATCGAGTTACATACAAGAGTGGAGGTAGGTGTATGCAGGTAGACTACATTCTATGTAGACGTGGTCAGGAAGAACTTCCAGATGACTGGGAAACTACAGCAGAAGTGATCAGGGAGACAGGTAGGAAGGTGCTAGGGGTGTCATCTGGAAGGAGGAAAGAAGATAAGGAAACGTGGTGGTGGAACGAGGAAGTACAGGACAGCATTCAGAGGAAGAGGCTAGCTAAAGAGAAGTGGAATGTAGAAAGGACTGAAGACAGGATTACAAGAAATTGCAGCGTAGAGTGAAGAGGGAGGTGGCAATGGCCAAACAGAAAGCATATGATGAGTTGTATGCTAGGTTAGACACAAGGGAAGGTGTGAAGGACTTTTACAGATTAGCGAGACAGAGATGGGAAGGATGTGCAACAGATCAGGGCGATTAAAGACAGGAAAGGTGCTAACAAGTGAGGAGAGTGTGCAGAGAAGATGGAAGGAGTATTTTGAGGAACTGATGAATGAGGAAATGAGAAGAAAAGAAGGGGGAAAGAGGTGAATATTGTAGAGCAGGAAGTAGCAAAGATTAGAAAGGATGAGGTGAGGAAGGCTCTGAGGAGAATGTAGAGTGGAAAGGCTGTTGGTCCAGATGACATACCTGTAGAGGTGTGGAAGTGTCTAGGAGAGACAGCAGTGGAGTTTCTATCTAGTTTGTTCAACAGGATTTTAGAGAGTGAGAAGATGCCTGAGGAATGGAGAAGTGTACTAGTGCCGATCTTTAAGAACAAGGGTGATGTGCAGAGTTGTAGCAACTACAGAGGTATAAAGTTGATGAGCCACACAATGAAGCTATGGGAAAGAGCAGTGGAAGCTAGGCTAAGGAAGGAAGTGTAGAAAATTGAGTCCTCCTATCCAATATCCAAGTCTGAATGCAGTTAGTGCTCTAGTCCGAGTTGAGCCATGAGTTCTGAAACTGGTCTGTGGTTTGTAGTTTGTAGTCCATTAGCTAATATTGTGCACTTAGCCCCAAACGACAAGTCAGTTTTCTTGTTCTGTCACAGGTCATGAGGGTTTATTTTATGGAGTATGTGTAAAATGTCTGTTTTATGACATGTATGTTTTATCTACTTGTATAATGTTTAAGCTCTTTGGGAGAAAAACTTACAGGCCTCACACACAACATCTGAGCTGAACAGATCCACATATTTGAAAGAGTTCTCTTCTTCTAGTTTGATTTGAAAATGAATTGGGGGGCCCCATGATGCTCTGAGTTCGTCTCCCTTCCCCTCCTGCTCTCCTCTCCTCTCATCCCCTCCCCTCTCCTCTCTCTCCCTATGCTTCTATATGCCACCATTACACATTACTAACTTTGTGTCTCCTCTCTCCTGTAGTGTGTCCTCTCTCTCTCTCCCTGTACCTTTCTGCAGGTTGCCCTGGCCCTGGAGCTCTACATCTCTGACGAG